TGTCTATGCGGTTACTAGTGTACTCTTCTGGTTTGTATAGTTAGATGTATTGATCAAGTATATATACTGCTAGTTTAAGGGCAATTAACCTCCTTTGAACAAATAACCTGGCTAATTGTAGCAAGTTTTTTTAAGTGTAGCCTTCCAGAAGTACTCATAAAGGATTAACATTTCTTAAATTCATGAACACAATTATTTTTAAGTTATGGATAAATAATTTTCCTTAAATACTGATGTCTTCTTTGTGTTATTTTAGACATTTCAGTTGACCATTGCCAGAGTCTCTGATTATGCAACTCATCAAAAAACTGATGAATGACAGAACAAATTATGCATATATTGATACTTCCTGCAAGGTAACAACTTGATAAGAATATTACTTACAGCCCATAGTTCCCTCATAAAGCCCTAAAGGGTGAAGTAGTGAAAAGCTGGAGAAACTGTCCAAAGGCTTGTACATGTGTGCAGGCAGATGTGCTGGCACAAATACCATACGGCATAATAACGTTTGTGCTTCACTCAGATTGGTAAACAGAAAAATCAGAGCAGCAGATATTAGCAGTATGGGTCAAGCTACGTAAGTTAGTGTGACAATACAATGTTATTACCTATATTTTAACCAGACACATCTTTGAAATATCAAGATTTCTAACTATATAAAATAATTGTATATTGGCACTTTCAGGCAACTAACATAATCATGTGTCAGATATTGAAATCAGACATTAGTATTTATCATAGAATCACTGAATGGTTTGGGTTGGAAGGGACCTTAAAGATCATCTAGTTCCAACCCCCCTGCCATCAGCAGGGACACCTTCCACTAGACCAGGTTGCTCAAAGCCTCATCCAGCCTGGCCTTGAACACTTCCAGGGAGGGGGCATCCACAACTTCCTTGGGCAACCTGTGCCAGTGTCTGAGCACCCTCACAGCAAAGAATTTATTCCTAATATCTAATCTAAACCTACCCTCTTTCAGCTTAAACCCATTTCCCCTTGTTTTGTCACTAAGTGCCCTTATGAAAAGTCTTTCCCCAGCTTTCTTGTAGGCCCCCTTCAGGTATTGGAAGGCAGCTATAAGATCTCCCCAGAGCCTTCTCTTTTCCAGGCTGAACAGCCCCAAATCTCTCAGCCTGTCCTCATAGGAGAGGTGCTCCAGCCCTTGGATCATACTCGTGGCCTCCTCTGGACTTGTTCTAGCTGTTCCAGGTCTCTCTTGTGATGGAGGCTCCAGAACTGGACGCAGTATTCCAGGTGGGGCCTTAAGAGAGCAGAGTAGAGGGGCAGAATCACCTCCCTCAGCCTGCTGGCCACACTTCTCTTGATGCAGCCCAGGATACAGTTATTGGCCTTCTGGGCTGCAAGCACACATTGCCAGCTCATGTTCAGCTTCTCATTCACCACCACTCCCAAGTCTTTCTCTTCAGAGCTGGATATATCTTTACCGATATATCTGAAGGTACCATACTAATTTTATCCTCAGTCATTCAGTAATTTGAAATAATTATTGCTAAGGTTATTAAAAACAAACAAAAAACTCACTGACTGTATTTATCCCAATACAATTGTAGAAGTAAAAAGGAAGTGCTTGCAATAAATAACTGTATAAGGGCATGAACAAGGCAGGTACTGTCTCTTTAGAACTCTGTAATTTCTTTTTCAGAGGTTGAATTTCCTAAAGTCAGAGGCCTGTACCTTGTACTAGACAGAGATCTAGGTCTACTGACTTACAGTCTTTTTATATACAAGAAAAATACTGGGCTGAGGGTAAACTGGATTCCACATAACAGAAAGAGATAAGGGAAATACAGCAAGTATGAAGCTGTGATTTTGGAAAAAAAATGATAGAGGACTGAAAGTGCAACAGAAAAATAACCGTAGGTTCTTGAAGATAAATATGAAAATAATCCACAGGAAGGAGGACCGGCCCATGGCAGAGTCTAAGAGAAGCTGTACATGACATTACTACATAGATTCACTCAGTAGGTTTTATTGAAGTAGCTGAAGTCAAGAGAAGTCACTCCACTGACATCAGTAGGCTTTATTCAGGTCACTACGTGCAGTCCTTCTGATCCCTCTTTCTTTCATCTAGGCTGAAAATCCTCCCCATTTCACTGAACAGTACCATTTCTCATTTCTCTAAGAATCTGTGTCTGGACCCACCCCCTCAAAGTTTTTTTTTTTCCAACCAGTCATGCCTATGCCTGCCTCAAACCAATAAAATTTATAGAGCCTTTGCGTCCTCCTTGTAACGGGCAGGCGAAAAGCCCATCAAGTATATTAGTGCTAATAGGAAGGCACTAAGGAAGGACTGAAGAGGCTCAGGAACTCTGGGACCATTAGAGTAATTGCAAGCAGTGAAAACACGCATACACAGCTCAAACATAAGGGAAATTATTTATTTTTGCTTATTTAAGTTCTGCATAGGAAGGACAAAACTTTTCCATGCAACTTATTTACAGCCCACATAGAGTATAAGGCACATTAAACATTGAAGTACAGGTCCAAATTTTATTATCTAGTGTTCAGACCTCATAGCAAGTCAGAACATCTGTTAACAGAACATTTTGAAAAGCAAACTCTACCCTCATGGAGCCTGCCATTACTGGATATAAGTATTTACTATGCTTTGAACCAGTGCTTTAACATTTTTTTCTGGTGTATATGCGACAATGTTGACAGGAGTTTTTATTAGTTCAGGATACTAACTGGAGAGACTAAAACATAATCAGACTATGTTGGCCAAATGTTTGAAAGCAAGAAATCTCCCATTGCTTCAATTTCCTTCAAATACTTAATATTTTCCTTTGGGGAAGAAACTTGTGTTTTATCATAATGATTTCTATTTGATTCTGGAGCATGAGTCATGCTCTTCAATTATTCTCAGTTGATTGTGTAATTATTAGTGAGAATGGGGTTTGGCTAGTCTTTATTTAGTTTGGAGTTTTTTTAATAAGAATTTCTGCTTACCTTCAGGTGAAGTACCTGGCTTTTGAGAAAATGCAGAGCTTATTTTACTCTTCTTGCTGCTGTTGCTGTTGACAGACAAGGTGGATTGAATTTTTCTGTGCATTTTTTCTGAAACAGGAGCCGAAAGCTTTCTGTTGTCTGCAGGTGCATGCTTGACCCCGTTGTGAATTCCACTTCCATTACTCAGACTCACGTGGCCATTTTGGATTTTGCCACTTTCTTCCTCACCCCTTTCCAGTGCTGAACTATTCGGTTGAGGCAAACGTTGAGGTTGTGCTTAAAATTAAAGAAAGAGTTAATTTAAATTGTAAATCGATAACTGAACACTTCAGGTGAGACTAGGAAGACAACTTTCATTGCTCATACTGATCAAAGAACACACTGAAAAGTTAACATTCCTCCATCAAAAAAATAAGCAAAAAATATCTCTAGATTAAAAATAATTATTAGGTATTCAGAAAGCACCTCATGTCTGTATGAGGCCCAGATTCCCCCCTCATCACTGCACAGAAAGGTTCACAATGCTCTGTGAATTAGATGGAAAGAATAAGGCACAATATTTGAAGAACAAAAAAAAAAAAAAAAAATCACAAACAGAAGAAAAAGTAACAAAATTGAGATTGGGTTAAGGAAGCCAAACAAAGAATGGGGGAAATGTAACAGGAGGGAAAAAGACATGGGAGAGAAGATACAGACTGCAGTAACAGAAGTGAAGCTGCAGTTTGGCCAACCTGCCAATCTTCAGAAAATAACCTGAGTGACAAGGTAGGACCTTCAACAATGAGCCACCACAGTACAGTGTATTAGAGAAGAAAAGGAGTATCCAGGTAACTAAAAACACTTTGAGCTTAAATTCATAAAGATCATGGAATGCTGGGAAGAACAAAACTAATCAAAATCTGGGTTTGTAGAAGATGTGATCCAGTAACCAGAATGAACATGCACTCAAACACTGCACAGCTGTGGCAAGCCAAAGGCCCCCCGCCCATATTCCTGAATTCAGAGTCACAGTTTTAAAAATGGCTGTAATGGGCCAGTTAGGGTTTTAATGGCAACAACTGAAATGGTCAAAGAAAAAAAACCACAAAATTTGTCAAGGCAGGAATCTGCAGTGGCCTCTTTGAGACTCCAAGAGTATATGTTATAAACCCATTCTAATGAGAGGTCACAACACTTGACCATTCTTTTTTGAGCTACTGTATCATAAAGGAGTGTATTTTTAATAATATGGAAAATAGATTCTCTATGTATTTAAAGTCTGTATCTAATGAAAAGATGCCTTTTTTTCTATGTAAAGCTTTGCAATAAAAAAGTAGTTTCCAATTAAAGATTCTTATTTAGAAAAAAAAATGCAGACTTCGTTCTAAAACTAATTAAACTATACACATAGTATCACAACAAGATTTCATAATCAAAAAGTATCAGCCCAATCACCTCTCCTAATCAAAACACTACTGTATTATGCTCGGACATAAAGAGGTTTTCAGACAGTCCAATCTTCAAGTATTTATGAATCTAATGCCAAAGAAAAAGCCCAGATTCTACTAAACATTCAACTTAAAAGAGATTAGACACTGCCAGCAGTAAAGAAAAACACTGCTGCAGTTCATTCCTTTTTCAGACGATTCACATCCATTTTCAGATGATTTCACAATATAGCTTTGTATGTAGATTACACTGTGTCCAAGATAACAATATTTATAGATAATTATAGTTAGCTTCCTTTGAAAGAAACATCTCCACTGATCACTTCAGGTACAAGTGACCAAACTTTCAGACAAATACTACTGGGAAACACAGACCAACAGAGTCTCTAAGAAGACTCTCAGTTATGCATTTGCCTAACAAACCCTCAATGCTTCCCTTTTATCAAAGACACTGATAACATTCTCAGATTGTTTCCTCCAACTATCATGAACTTGTCAAGATTAAACTTCAGATAAATCTTAAAGTCTGGGTCATATTCATAGGCAAAAATAGATACTTTTCATAATAATTTAAACATGAACTGGTTCATTTTTTCTTACCATTTGATTTTTTTAGATACAGAAACTAAGATTTTAAGAAGATATCCTGAACTAATCACATCTATCTAGGTCAAGGTAACCCTGATCGAACCTGCTTTACAAAAGTGATAATTTTATGTTGCAGGAAAGAAAGGGAGGGCTGGGGAAGATATTTATGCTTAGCCTCCCCTAAGATGTTGCAGGGAAGACAAAGTTCATTCTCTTCCATTATCAGCCATAACTACTCAAGAACCTCCAAGTCAACAGAGCAGGAGCACAACGCTATCTGAAGAAGTTTTTGATGGCAGTACAGAAACTGCTTTTCCTTTCAATTTGGCACTAGTGCTTGCAAAACCTATGAAAAGAAGCATAAGCAAGGTACTTTCTGCACTCTGGAATTCTATTTGTAGCATATATTCTTCTAACATTTCCAGACTATCACAAAAGCCCCATAAAAAGTTTTTAGGAAGTCTTCTCTTTCCTGAAACAGGATTCTTTTAAAAGTATACTACCAGGAACTCTCCGTGTAGGAAGTATTTCCCCATATGTGCAAAACAATTTTTGTTAAAAAACTAGTAAATTCCTTCCATTTTAAAAATAGTCAATGTAGACCTAGCTACAGGCAAAAACAAAAGGAACTGAAATTTTTACTCTCTAAAATGTTTACACCCATAGCTTTCCATAGCTTTATTTTCATTATCCCACTCCAATGTAAATGGTAGTATTAAGAACAATGTTTTTCACGTTGTCTCCTCACACTGTGCTGCTGCCTACAATTCCCAACTGTGGAGCAGTGCAGTTGCACCAACAACCTAGAATTACCGGGGAGGAGTTAACCTTCCTCAATAAATAGAAGCAATAGACTGTACTAAAAATTCTGTATGTCTGGATACATAAGTTTCTAAAACTGACAGTTATGACCTTTTCCAAGCCACCTAAATTGGTGGTGGCAGCTTGCAATTGTTTGTGTAATTTCAGTGTTTTGCTACAATACAATAACTTGACAAATTCTCCAAAATTCCATCTTCAAAATTAGGTGTGTTTCTGTGGGTCAAACTGTGGGCGAATGGGAAGTTTCAGGGAATTGAAACAGTTATATGTTTTTGCTTTTATTATTATTTTTACTAAGGGTTTGGGGGTTTTTCTGGTAGGGTTTTTTAATATAGTTTTTTATTAAATAATCTTGTTCCCAAAGTACTCTTACTTCAGTCTTTTAGCATTAACATACAACTTTTTAGCTGACTGGCTTTACAGTATTCACATGTGATATGCAGGTCAAATCAAACTGGAACAAAACCCCAAATGGATTAGTTATCTCAATTTAAATTTATTTTAACTTTATTGATAATTTTGCACTAGGGAGACTTGAATCTTATGGTTAAAACACACTTGAAACCAATTAGGAACCATATGACCGCATTCTAGCATAAAGAACAAAAGCAACTGACAGTTCCAAGATTAAGCCACAACGACTCAGTTTAAAACAGAAATATTTTCACCTTATTTTTAAAAGGTTGTGTATATCTTAAAAAAAAAAAAAAAGTGTAATATGGGGAACGACACAATGCTTCTTAAAACACAGTGATACCCAGGGACTCTCACTCTCTCTTTAATGATCCACTGCTCTCATTCAGCTGTCTTTCTTTTTTCAAATCTTTACATATGTGACAGCTCTCAAAAGTAGACCATAGACCATCTGGCATTTTCAGAGGTGTAACTTGTGCAAATTCAGCTCTACTGGGAACACAATGCTATCTTCTGCCTGCGTTATAAAAGATACAATAGAATGTAGAACTTATGAGTTGTTTTGAATTATTCATTTTTTGCCTGTATATTCAAGAAATTTTACAAACTCTGCATTTTGTACTACATAATCACATGCGTTAAAGGTACAAAGAAACTTTTTGACACCTCTTTTCTACAGAAAGATGGCATTTTGTTTGATATGTGAACATTCAGCGCCTGTTATATCATTCTAAACAGGCCATGTGCTACTACAAAAGATCCCATTTTACACTCTATGTATGAGCAAAAATTTTATTCTCGATATTCAGTAACTAATGCAATACACATCAAAATTTCAAATATGAGTTGGATGAACATTCAGCATCTTCAAATCAAGATGGTACTGGTCACTTACTATGTGTTAAAGATTTTTAAAAAAAAATCATTCCTCACACAACATAGAAATATTGTAATTTCAAACATCTACAATGAATAGTTTCAAATGTCCTAAGAAATACTGTGCTTTTTTAGGTTAATATGTTTTTAATCTTTTGCAAAACCAGTAGATTTAAGTCAATATTTTATACAGTGCTAACACTAGTGGATTTTCAATAAGAATGATAAATATTGGATTAATGATTCAATAGACTGAATCTTTTTTGATAGAAAACTAGCAGATAATGTAGCTAGTAATAACTATACATGAATCTGCTGCCTGTGGAAAAGCAATAAAAAGGCAATATATTGCTATAGCATATAATCTATTAGCGTGTTTCACTGCTTCCCTGTTATTGGTTTCCTTGCAAAGTGGGCCTTAATACAGTAACTTCTGCTGTTATTTAACTGACTTTATATAGTAATTTGTGAGGTTACTATCTGGTGAATAAATATTCAAGTACTAAACATTTACTATGGTCTTGACGGTTTCAAAGTAAGTATGCACATTCTCATACAGACTGTAAAACCCTTAGCACAGTTTAAATTAATACGCACGTGCATGCACACTGAGAATACGTTGTTTACACCTTGCAAAATAACAGCTATTCTTAGGAGAAAAATCATGATGCATGCATTTAACAGAAAAATGTATGTCAACATAGGGAAACTCTCAACAAAAAGAGGACAGTCTCAGCTATCATTAGGGATTTTAGACAAAACACAAAACCAAATATGCACAGAATACAGGCTCCTCAGAGTCAAAGTGAATCAAAAGAAAACATCAGGAGGGAGAGAAGAATTGAGACAGCTAATTAGTACCCTAATCACATCAAAAGCAATTCCAAGGTAGGTGATACAGATGCCCGTGGAGTTTGCGAGGCTGGCCAAAGCCACTGATGGAAAAACCAACTTTCCAGTTTACAGCCTGGTTCATCTGACTGCACACCCAGAGAGGTAAGAATGCTGTTTTTCTTTGTTTATGACACAACAGTTTATGACATCAGATCAGGTCACACTAGCAGTATTTTTGCAGGTGGACTAGGGAGGAATAAAAATGCACGACTCCTGGCTGTAAAAAAATATAACCTTCGGCATTTTCAAATATTG